TGAGGTCCAAGGATTTGAACAAAACAAGTACACCCAAAAGTTTTTAGAGGAATAGTGAATAGGTCCTTATCTGGATATAGAAGACTGAACGGGGTTTGCATGTTTAGGACCCGTGAAGGAACCCTATTAATGAGGTATATGTCTATACAGATTGCATCTCCCCAGAAGCATATGGAAACATTGGAGTTGAGCATGATGCTTTTGGCTACCTCTAAAATATGTCTGTTTTTTCTCTCAGCAACCCCGTTTTGCTGAGGTGTGTGAGGACAGGTGCTCTGATGAATGATCCCATGATCATGGAGCTAGGATGCCAAGGGTTTTGCAAAGTATTCCTTGGCATTATCAAATCTAAAATCTTGATCTTGATTTCAAATTGAGTTAGGATCATCAGATGGAAAACTTGGGTTAGAGAGGGGACCTCATCTCGAGAGCGCATAAGATAGACCCATGAAAAACGGGTATAGTCATCAACAAATAATAAGAAATATATGTATCCCCCCATGGTGGGAGTATGGTAGGGCCCCCCAAACATCGGTATGCACAATCTCAAAAGGAAGGTTGCTTCTTTTATTACTTAAAGGATAAGATGATCTACTATGCTTTGCAAGTTCACAACTTTCACATTTTAACCCAGACACTTCTACTAACTCAAAAAGTTTGGAAAAAGACTCTTTAAAAACCCAAAAGATAAACAACCTAAGCAGTTGTGCCAAAGCATAATCTTACTACAAGACTGAGAAACAAACAATTTCCCTGCTTCACTYTGCTCCCCCTATGAATGTTCCAACAGGTAGACTCCATTCATCTCACGGCCAATCCCAATCACCTTCTTCGTTTCCAAATCCTAAAAATACACCGATCAGGGAAAAAAGTTACCGAACAGTTTTGATTTTTAGTAATACTACTAACTAAAAGTAAGTTAGCACTAAGCTTGGGAACATGCAAAGTTGAGGATAGGATGATGGTATCTGATAATCTGATGTCTCCCTTGCCAGAAATTGGTACAAGAGAGACATCGGCAATAGAAACTTTGTCTCTTTCAGAGGATAAACAATAAGTGCTAAATAGAGTAGATATGTTGGTCATGTTCTGAAGCACCTGAATCTATTACCCAGGAAGGGCTAGTATTACCTAGGATAGAAGCATGACAAGCAATAGCTCTTGTACGTGTATGAGCAAGGGTTAAAGTAGGCTGTTGAGCTGATGTAGGCTGAGCTAAATTACTAAATTCATTTTCTAGCCGAGTCATAGCAACTCGGACTGCAGCTAGGGTATCTAGAGGAGTGCCTCTTGTGCCTGATGAAGTTGTACTATCAGTGTTGATAGCCATATTACCATTCCCTTTCTTATTTCTGAGCTTTGTTGGAACTAGATGAGGGTGCAACTTCCAACAAGTGTCCTTAGTATGTTTAGGTTTCTTGCAGTGTTCACATACTAAGTCCTTCTTCCCCTTATCCCCCCCCAGATTTAGGTCTAACTGCTACCAAGGCTGATTCGGAGGGCTGTTCCTACAATGTAACCTTTCTCCTAATTTTTTCACTATGCACTAGGGAATAGGCTTGTGATAAAGTCACACTATCTCTTGTCAACAACTGTTGTCTCGCAATGTCATATTCAGAGTTCATACCAGCTAGGAACTCAAAAACTCTGTTAGTTTCAACCTGCTCTCTATATGTTTGTGCATCTTTCTGACTTTCCCACTCAATTGTTTCAAGATGGTCAATTTCATGCCACAGGGATTTTAAGGCTGAAAAGTAAACAGAGACCTGCTTCTCTCCTTACCTCAAATTTTTAACCTCACATTTTAGCTCATAAGCCCTAGCAACATTAAGAGGCTGAGAGTAGGTTTCCTTCATAACATCCCATATTTCCTTAG